TTTAGGCAGACTGTCACTTTATCTCTGAAGCTCCCCCGCCCCCACTCTAACATAAGATCATACCACCTCTCCCTATCGATGTGAGCATTAAATGCAATGAACATAAGCAGGAGCACTTAAGCTCTGCTTGTAGATCGATACATGTTGTTGAATCCAAATCTCATAGCTACCACCTAGCAATGACTAGGGAGGATATGAACCAATGAAACTTCCTGCATCCATGAAAAAAGACATCTGCTCTTATGTCTAGCTCAGTCTTTGATTCCTACAATGATCAATCGCCTCTCCCCTTTCATATGCTGTCTTAAAAAATCACAGTGACCCTGACTTATAACCAAGATAAAGAAACACTAGTGATAAGAACACTGAATGAATCCTGATGCATTGCAGGGTTACCGACTGGTGATGTTGACCTGCAATCTTCCTCCTGTCAACTGAGAAAAACTCTGAGACGGCCAAGAGGACCAAGGCAGCCACTGGCCCAACAACCTGAAGAGTAGGAAGGTGATCGGGTTCGTGGCGGTCCTACCAGAGTGTCAACAGCAGAGAACCACTGTTTCTGTAAAGTTTACTGTGAGAAGGGACATTTATTCCCACTGGGAGTGATGGCCCCATTGTTATCCTGCCAGAAGCAACTTAGACAAATATGGATTTTACCTGAGGTGGCAGAGGGGAGGAGTAAGGGCAGGAAAAGGACCCAGATAATCAGAAAGCTCGGGAGGGTCAGGAGTATGAAAGTCGTAATGCAAACTCGGTTTTGAGATTTTTCTAACCAGTTTATTAAAATTCTTATTAATTCTGGAAAGTTGTTTCTCCCACCCCCAAATGCCAAGTTCTTAAGATATTTGCTAAAGCCTGGGCTCTGAGACCGATTTCCCTCTGTAGCCCACGTTGCTTCACTCCTCCTGGACCGGCAGCAGACATCTTCAACCTCTCTGTCGCCCTCCAGGGTGACTCCATTTCCTCACCGAACTGGAGCCAAGACCTCGGGGTTTCTCTTGTCTCCTGTTCTTTGTTTTGTTTTCCTCACACCCCTGTTCAGTCTGCTGGGAGATACTATTGGCTATACCTTCTAAATATACCCAAGCCAATCTGACCCTTTTTTAAAACCGTTGTCATTGCTACCCTTTGGTCTTAACTCATAGGATTATCCATCTTTGGAATGAAGCAGTTGGGGGAAATTCTCCAGATTTCATTTCTGCCTCCCTCCCCAATTCTCTGGCCTTGAACTAGGCTCTTTGGTCCTTACCTTTTGTCTTGTTCTTGCACATCACCTTTGGCCCAGTGCCTTTATACAGACACCTCAGTGGGGGTGCTTCTGGCTCATGGTGTTGGTGTTACCCTGGGTGCTCTTTCCTGGCCCAGCTCTGCTCTGAGGTCTGCAGCCTGGACAGACTGGGCCCTGGCAGCCCAGGTAGTCAGGAGCTGACCTGACCAACCTTTGCTTCTGTCTCTTTCTGTCCAGATCCTATAACAGTCCCATCGAATCTCAGCTTCTTAATGAGACTTTAATGAGACCATCCAGCATTTTCTCTTTCTGCTTCCTGGTCACCCTCGTGTTTATTGGCTGTGCCATCCATTTCGATGCATGGTTTAACTTTCCTTTAGCATTCTGTACAGTCAGGACTGTTCCCAGACTATTTCCTGTCCTGTCTCTCCAAGAAGACAGTAGGTCCTTCTAGGCGAGGACTGTTTCATGTACTCCCTTCATACTCCTCTTCCCTTATGTGCTCGTATTTTCCCACCAAATGCTTGCTGACTTGAAGATTTTATGACTAATCCAGGGACAGTGAGTTGAGAGAAATACGATGCTGTGGAGACATCTGCTGTGTGGCACTTACGAGTTTCAGCTTGGAGGCTGACGGCTGTGGATTCGTATCTTGACTCTGCCCATTCCTGTGGTTCTCTTATGTTACCTCCTTAACATCTGTCTCCTCATCTGGAGATGGCAGCTGTCTGTAGTGAGAGGTGGCCAAGAAAATGCACGAGAAGTTCTTTAGGAAGATGTCCGGCACATAGCAAGTGCTCAATAAACAGTACCTCTGATTCTTCTTGTCCCTGAGCTTTGAAAGTTGCACCAAAGAGAATAAAACTTCTGGAATGTGTCCCTAGTGAACGTGTCTGAGGCTTGCTGCAGGGTGAACGGCCCGACTATAGGATTTTGGATGACCTTATGTTAAAATAGATTGTGGGGTTTTCGGCTCCTTGAAATTGTGGAATAAATGCTTTTAAACATGCAGGACTGAGGGTTCTAAGGAGAGCCTGTGTGATTGGATGGAACGAATAAAGTTAAGGCTATTGATTATTTCCTGATCAGCACTTTCCACCTGGCCTTCCTTTCTTTAATTCCTCCTTCCTTCCTTCCCCTCATGTTTTGAAAGCTTATCATGAAAATGAATGAAAAAAATCAAGAGCGTCATTGATAGCCTTGGCTGGTGTGGCTCAGTGGAGTAAGTGCTGGACTGTGAACCCAAAGGTCACTGGTTTCCCCATCAGGGCACAGGCTTGGGTTGCAGGCCAGGTCCCCAAGTGGGGGTGTGCGAGAGGCAACCAGTGGATGTTTCTCTTACATGTTAATGTTTCTCTCCCTCTCTTTCTCCCTTTCTCTAAAAATAAAATAATAAAATCTTCCAAAAAAAATAAAGAAAGAAAGTAATTGATATACTTAGGTTAGGTGCATATAGATATTTATAGAGTCTTGCAAGTCTTCAGCATTTCAAACCTGAGTTTACTGTCAGGTTTGAACATCGCTGGTTGATTCCTGTTCGCTCACTCTATTTTTAGCCCATATATTTTGTAGTTACCACATGAGGCAATAGCTCCTATTAAAATCTTGACTGTCCATTCAGCCCCTCAGGTGATGGGGTTCTTCGATGATGAATTATAAATGCTAAAGTTGTAAGTTAACTTTGACTAGTGAATTCTAAAATCATCGCTCACTATTTATATTTTTCTTCATTTCATCAATTCATAGACATTTATTGAGTTCCTGGTGTTTCCGTTACGAAGATGGAAAGATGAATCAGATATGAGCCCTCCCCTCAAGAAGCTTACATTATGATCTGTTGGATATTCATGACCTATTATCATAGGCTGCCCTAATTCCAATGATTCATTTGAATACCATTCTAATTTTAAAAACAAAACAAGCCCTGGCTGGTGTAGCTCAGTGGATTGAGCACGGGCCTGTGAACCAGACAATCGCGGTTCGATTCCCAGTCAGGGCACAGTCCTGGGTTGCAGACCGGTTCCCTGCAGGCCAGTTCCCAGCAGGGGATGCACGAAAGGCAACCATACATTGATGTTTCTCTCCCTCTCTCCTTCTCTTTCCCTCTAAAGATAAATAAATAAAATATTTTTTAAAAAACCCAAAAAAACAAAGCATTGGGGCCCTGGCCAGGTGGTTCAGTTGGTTGGAGCGTCATCCTGTACCCCAAAATGTTGTGAGTTCGATCCCTGGTCAGAGTGCATAGGAGAGTTTAACCGATCAATGTTTCCCTTTCTCTCTCCCTTCCTCTCTCTCTAAAATTAATAAATATATCCTCAGGTGAAGATTAAAAAGACATTGGGGAAGGTTTTATCTGCTAAACGGTGTGTGTGTGTGTGTGTGTGTGTGTGTGTGTGTGTGTGTGTGTGTGAAGGGGTTGGGTAGGGACTGCTGTGTTAACTCCTAACTCTGGACACTTGAATCCTGGAAGCAGAAAGGAAATCTGCGCTAAGAGAATACAGCCAAGGCTTTTGCTGTACAGTGAAGGGAAGGAAACCCAATACAGGACTATTGCTGTGACTGAGAAGTAGCCCCTAGATATTTTGAGTAGATGACTTCTTTAGCCACTCCTTTCAAAGGATAATTTATAGCTCTTTTTGTTTTTCTGAACTCATTTTATTAAGCTTCTGCTTTCAACGTTTCAAATAGAATAATGAAGCTGAGAGTCGCTGTTATTAGCTTCCAATGGCCTTGAGAAGTCTGCTTCTGTGGCCGAGGTGATGATGGCAGACTTGGCAAGGAGCTGGGAGGTTTTGCTCTAACCTTCACAAACAGACTGGAGTAGAGGCCATGGGCAGCCCAGGTGAGAGGAAGCATAAATTCTACCTCTTAGTGGCTCAGGCTCTGCTTGGCCTGAACGGGCCTCCTCTTATGGGGGTTTCCGAGGCCCCCAGGGCTGGCGGATTTATGTCAGCAGAAGCAGTGTAGTAGAAAGAGATTAAGAATGCTTTCAAAGGGCGTGTGAGTGGGTTGCTCCTCCTTGTGATCGGTCTGGGACACAGAGCTCCGTCTGTGAGGACCTGGGCTGGTGCCAGGGAAGGGAGTCGGGCAGGCCTGAGGAATGGAAGGTCACCGGCCAGTTGGGTATTGTGATAATTATATCCTTGTTTCCTTGAAGGTACCAGCGTCCTTGATTTTCCAGCTTCAAAGAAAGCTGCCTCTCAAATAGGGGGATGTTCACACCTGTTTTGCTGCAGTGATTTCTGGCTGCAGTGATTTCTGCCTTCCTGGCTGCAGACTCAACATGACAACAATAGTCTGTGGACATTTTCAAGGTCATAGTCACAAACGAGACATGGGAAGCTTCTCTTGTGCCCTTTATTCCTAAATGCAAATGTAAAGGTTACCGTGTCCCATGAGAATTTAGCAAGGAACCCAGTTTAATGGTCTTGCCTTAACTGGAGGTGCTTTGTGGGTCAGGAGCGCCGTAAATCATCCCCATCACCCTTATCCTCAGTGTCTTCAATCCTCGCCCCTCCCCAGTGGGACTACCGGAGGAGCAGGTGCCCTGTAATTACCAGAGGTGACACCTGGAATGTTTTGTTTTTTTCCTACCCCATTCATCTCCAGAGAAGCTGTGCCAATTTTAGTTAAGAAGTATAAGCATAGTTCTGCCTTTCACATTTTCTTTGTAGCACTTAGATTTCTAGGAGACTTTAGGGGAGGAGGAAGAGGTATTTATTTTTTTTAGATGGGACCCTGCTTGTCTACTGGTTGCAATGAACATGCTGGATTTCCACTGATGGAGCGTATGTTCGTTGCCCGCCCCCAAACCTCCATTAATCATCTGAGCCCTCCAGTCGTTAAATGTGCAAATTTGCAACCATATTTGATGAATAAATCCCATTTAAAAAAATGAGATGACTAATTTCTGGCACTTCAAACCTTCCCAAGAAGTACCATAAGCTGGAATATTACAGATAACATCCTGGATCCTGCTGTCTAATGTTTCTATTGTTGCCGTCCACTCTGTAGACCAAACCTTCCTTCTCTGGGCCAAAGCAGGTGCTGGTCAAAACCTAGAAATTAGAAAGAGGGAAATATTTATTTCTCTAGCTAGTTCTTGTTTTGACCTTGATGGGGATAAATAATGTTTCTATATACAAAATATTCCCTAACTCTTTTGTAACTTTTGCTCTAAGATTGCACACATACACACAATCTCATTTTATTAGGTTTCTGCTTTCAACGTTCCAAACAGAATAGTGCATTGTGATGAATTCCCACTTTAGTGACATACAAATAACTCACTGAAATATGCAGCCTTTCCCCACCGATGCCCCTGTCCTTGTGTCTCTCTTCCTCCCCTAAGCCCTTCTCTTTCTTTCTCTTTCTTTACTGCTCTAAGAGTATTCCACTTCCTAAGGTCATGGGTGCTAACTGCTATGACATTGAAGGGAACAAAAGCTCTGTCCTCTGCAGTCAGCTCCTACCTGTCGCCTGGGACCCTGGATGCTGAGCTGTTGCCTGTGATTTAATAACAAGACCCAGCGGAGGCGGCCCAGGTGCTGTGTCTCATACCTTCGCTGACTGCCAAGGGAACTTTTAATCTGTTGACTTTACTCAGTTATGCTAGTCTGGCAGATGTACCTGGCGCTGTAAATTATTTAGATGTTTAATTTATTTGGCTTAGAAGGAACACTCTAATACCTTGTTATCTAAGAGCAGAAGATGAAAAACCACTTTGTTTGCAAATCGTAAAATCTCTTAGCAGCCTTGTGTGTTAATGAGTAAAAAAGACTTTCCTGACTTTGAAAGTGCAGCAGGGGCCCAAACAATCACGGTTAACACATTATTCCCAAAGATAAAAATTATGGTATATATCTGCTCAAATTAGAAGTGAAATGTGAAGCAAATGCCTTCCACCACATGCTAACAGACAGCTAGTCTGAAGTGAGCACAACCACGCACTGTAAATGAGGGGTCAGGGGTGCGTAGCGGGGCCCTGTGTCCCGGTGCCCCCCCCCCATTGTAAACGACTTCCCCAGGACCCTGGGGAGGCAGAAGTGTAAAACTGGAGGAAGTATGATGTTACCTAAGCCCCCTTAGTATACAAAGTTACTACCTAATCATGAAATGTGGCATTGTTTTATTTAGTCTTTGACCTTGTACTTAATACATGTTTCATTAAAATAGAAACTCAGTACACGTTTCATCAAAAGAGAAACAACAAAAATAAATGATCTCATGCAGCAAACGCTGTCACCTCAGATTAGTTCCCCGTCCCTCCAACAATTTCATTTACTCTCTTGATGAATATGGGTTGATGGGAGGCAAAAATAAACATAATCTATAGCAACACAAAAATATAAATAATGGTATGGAAATGCTTTGAAAATGTTTTCTTTTGTAATGGCCTTGTTTAAAAGGTACTTCTGGAATGAGGTGACATTATTGGGGTTTTATTTATCAGCATCCAAAATGTAAAAAAAATTATCCTCATCAAAAATTAAAAACATTTTCTTTTATCAAAGGGAGGCAGCAGAGTGTTAGCTAAGTGTGCTGGTTCTGCAGTTCAGCTGCCTGGGTTTGAAATCTGACTTTTATTAGCTGTGTGACTTTGGAGAAGTTACCTTCTCTGTGCCTCAGATTTCTCATCTGTAAAATAGGGATATTACCTTCCTCATAGAGTTCCCATGTGCTGAAGTACATAAAATAGTACCTGGCCTACAGTAAGTGCTCAATAAATGGTAAATTATTGCAATTAATCATTTACTGCGTGCTTTGGATTCATTTCATGGCCTTGTAAAAAACAATTCCATGAGGTATCTTTTATTATTGTCATTTTACTGAAGAGGAAATTTACTCCTAGACCCAGAGTTAGAAATAAGCAGAGCCCCAATTCAAACTCAGGTCTTCAATTCTCAGTGGCAGGTCTGGATTCCCTGGGGTCTACAGTGGAGGCAGAGATCTCAGAGCCAGAAGTTTATGGGGTGGGCTCAATGGCGCCATCTATGGGCACAGGGAGAAGCTGCACTGTGGTGCAATAGATGGGGTTGTAGCAAAGGCCTCAGCCTAGTACTAGTTCTAGTACTGGGTTCTTCAGAGCTGGACCCCACTGAGGCAATGGCCGGCCATTAAACAGCCCCATCATAGAATGTGCTGTCCTTTGCTGTAGGCTTCCCCAGAAAGGGATGTGTCTTTGGGCAGAGCAGCTCTTTTCAGCCACAAAGGCTCTCTTCAGAGAGGGTCTCCCTGAAGAACTGTCAGCAGCCAACACTGCCAGCAGCTGCAGGACAAGTACTTCAGCTTGGACTGGGGGAGATGGGCAGTGTGTCCCCAGGTTCCACACCTCCCTGAAGCTCAGGGGATTGTTCAGAGTCATCTCACAGACCATGGCGGTTGCGACCATGGCTTCTTTTACCCAGAATCTCTCAGACCCCATTTATGCTGGGAGGTCCAGGAAGCCCATGGATAGAGTGTTTCTGTGAACTGCAGAAGGCGCTTGTGAGGAACCGAGCACAGCAGCGAAAACCAAGTACATCGCTGCACCAAAACCAAGTACATCACTGATAGACCCTGGCTGCCATGGCCTACATTCTCTACAGTTGGCTATAAGATGAATCGTTTGAAAATGCTTACATAGCCCACATTTTATAATTCCATTCCCTCTAGCAAGCACTTTTTCTGGCGTGTATGTCATGATTCATAATCTAGAACCACAGAGCTGTAAAACGGGCAGGGCCCGAGAGATCCAGCCCCTTCAGTTGGGCTCAGGTGGAGGGGAGTGTTGGAGTCAAGGTCACATGGCAGGTTGCATGCAGTGGGACTGGGACCACTAGCGTGAAAACTGATATCTCAAGGAGAGTCTAGATATTTGCCAACTGCAAAGAAATGATAAAAACAAATTCCTGGCTGACAATTTGAAAGGATAGGTTTGGAATGTTAACTTAATGCACATTACAATCTTGAAGTTTCTTGTCATATCCTAGATAAAGTGCCCTGTTTATACTTTATGCATTTCCATGCAAAGTGCCTTCTAAAGCTAAATGCCAAGAATTCGCACTGACATTGTGTGGCTGGCATTTCTTGATTGTATTCTGTTTCTTTTTGTGACAATACAATGTTTTATGATTAAAATACTCCATAAAACTATAGCTTTTCTCCACATAAATGATACAATTACATGAGTACTGTATGGTGCTGGAAATCTTTAAAGAGCCTATTTCAGATCAGAGAGTAAAGTCTTATCTTTAGAATTACTTTCAGAAAACACATCAGGCACACAGAGCTGTCAGGTTGAAAACTGTACCAACAATTTTATGTTAACTTATTATCTAAAGTGCAGTATTCTCTGGCGTGTGGATATATTCATAACCACAAAGATTAGTGCTCAGCCAAAAAACAAAAAAGCTTTTAATTTTTCATTACCTCCTCAGTACATTACCTGGCTAGATTTAGACATTTTTAAAATCCCACATGATTGTTCAGCTCTTCAGAGTTGTTAACCCCTAAACTTCCAACGGAAAACCTACTGGACAATGTTGGACTATTAAGAATAGTGGCAGTTAGTGTTAGAGTTCAGGGAGCACACTCAGGGTCCACGCTGCCTGGGGTGGAAGCCCAGCTTCACCAGCTGTGTGACTTTGGACAGGTTTAACCTCTACAAAATGGGGGTGGTACCGCTATGTGGCTCCTGTGGTTGGTAAAGAGATTAAGGGAGATAATGTGTGTAAAGTGCTTAGAACAGTGTCTACCCGAACGATAGTGTTCATGCCATATCATTAGATTTTGCCTTTTAAACTACAGAAAATGGAATCAAAACAAGAAAAGCTAAATATGAAAACTGAAAAACTAGATACACCTAAGTGATCATGTTAAATGTGTGATTCTTAAGCAGAACTCCTGTGTGAAATAGACTCATAAGCCGAGATAGGCCATAAGTTTAGATTCTAAAGATTTATTCTACCTGATACACATGATAAATGAGACAGTAAATTACCAGTCTAGAACTGGAAAAAAATTGATTCTGGAAATTAAAAAACCTATGTCCTAATAGCGAGGCCTAGAAAATCCTTCGCAGTGGGTAGCACCATGAGAGCAGTGACCATGCCCATCTTGGTCACTGTTAAATGCCCAGCGCATTGCAATGCCACCATATGGCAGGAATTTAATATGAGTGGGATGCCCTTTGATTCATAGAACTTCAGAGTTAGAAGGGGCTGCTTGCTTATGATGTCACAAACAAGGCACCGAGGATCAGTGCCTTAAAATGAAGTAGGTGGTTAGCTGTTAATAGACGCCTGACCCAAGAATGTTGACTTTAGGCTTGGGCACTCAGATAAGTCTTCCGTAGTATTCTAAAATATTGTTTTAGAAACTGCAGTCTCTTGGGACATTCATGGAGTAAGAGGTAGAAGGGATTGTTTTCTGGTCAAATAATTCTGGGAAGTGCTGAGTTTAAACAAATTAAACTGTGGATCTCCAAAAAGGAGATACAGTACCATACACAGCATTCTGAAGAGGGTTTGACCATAAAGCGCATTTTGAAGGGAGCGTCTTTCAGAACTGACGGTCTATGAAACCCACAGGAGACTGACCAATAGGCTTCAACAAATACTCAGGAAGCACCTGCTACATTCAGTTGCCATGACAGGACACACGCAACAGGCTGCGCTGAGTTAGAAACCAGAGTTTTCCTGAGAGAGGGCAAGAACAGCGGTGGGGATGGGAAGGGGTTAAGAAAAGGCACATTAACTTCAGTTTGTGCCTGAATTTAAGAAGTGTCCTGAGAAAGGCTCAAATAAAATGCTACTGGGATTTGAAGGTCAGAGTTCATGGAAGAAACAGCATTTGAGAAGAGTCTTGAAGGCTGAACAGCTTGAACAGCTCCTGTTCAGACTTTTGTTGGCCGATGCTTCTGAGCTGCACTGACCTGCAGGGAGCCCTGTAAATGCCAAAGGACTCCCACCTTTCCCTGTTTGCCTGTGGAGCTAGACCCTCTGCTTTTCCATCCAATGTCCTGAAGAATCTACAGCCTCTGGAAAGCCTGTGTATGAACATCTAGCACAATAGTCTTCCTCTTACTTCTTTGTGGTAGGCCTGGTATCATGACCTATATGTCCTCTGGTCAGCAGGTCTGGGTCAAAACTGTTTGTCAGAACACAAAAGCAATGGCAGAAAGGGAGGCCAGAGCGGAATGAAGACCGACACAGGGCAGTACACGTTCAGCTCAAGGAGTGTAGTGAGGATTGCTCAGCTCACTGGCTGGAAGCAGCCACAGTACTGCACATTCATGCTCATTGGCTGAGAACAGAGTCGTTTCTTTGCCTTTGATCTCAATGGCTGAGAGAGAGGTTATGGTGGGAGAGTTAGCAATATCATACTTTTTGACTTGGGTGTTAACTTTAATACAACTTGTTAAGCTGCTTCTTTTTTCTGTATGAGGGTTAAACTTCATAATCAAAAAGTTAAAAAATGTTTGCCTAAAGTCTCCTTGTGCCAATTTCTGGGGGGAAAAAGCAAACATGCAAAGAACCTCTCAAAACTGCTGACCCATTTAGACTCTGGTCAAAGCGTCTATGTAAGACCCTCTTCTTGTAGCCTCTTCCTCCAGAACAAACGTTTCCATTATAGTGCAGCGACTTGATTTACAATATAACCAATTTAACAGTTGAAAGTCCTAAAATTCATCCTCAGCAAAACCTGCAAAGCAGCTGCAAAAAAGATGAATGTCACTCGTGGGATCCAAAGCCTAGAGGATTGCATGGACAAGTTCAGCAGTGTGTGCATGCAAAGCCTGTTCCGAACAGAAGGCTGTTAGAGCAGAGCGTCCTTCTGTTTCGTTATCAGCTGGAGGCACCTGCCATAACTGGGCTCCCCAAGGCTGCCCATTTTGGGGCAGAAAATCCTAGAGCAAAGGGCAGTCCCTCATGATCTACCTTCCAGGACCCTAGGCTTAAAATCCAGAATTCAGCTTCAAGCGAGTGAGAGGAAAGGCAGAGCGATGTGAAGGGCAGGTGTTGGAGGTTTACTTTCGTCTCTCTTCCTAGCTTTCGGCCCTTAGAAATGTGTAGTTAGATATGCTTTCTTCCCTCTGGAAAACAGATTTCCCCCTCTCCCACCTCTGCCTGGGGAATAACAAATTTCGTACGGAGACCTGAAAACCCTAAGAGAAGTATGTAATGCTTCAGACACCTCATGTCGGACTGGCTGTCACAGACCCTGATTCGGGTCAGGCTGTTTAAACTTCTTTGGAACAGGCATTTGTCTACAGTGGGGTCATTTTATAGATCTATTAAACCGACATTTTCTCTTGGGCTCCGTCCCCCAGCTCCCCTCCACCCGCTCCAGTCACACACTCTAAAAACCCCCTTAAGCCCCAGAAATAAATCTCTATAAACCGCCAAGCATTCAATCAGGCTTTTACTGTATCTCTTTGCAATTAGAATAAATTTACTGCTCAGAGAGATGGGGGAAATATGCAAGGTACTCCTTGGATAAATAGACCGCAGCGAGAAAAGTAGAGGCTCTGTAAAAATTATCTCTGTGAATTCAACAAGAATCAAGGTCACTGGAGCTGCTACATACCAGGGAGCGTTAATTAATGGGCCTGCAGCTGGTGGTACCACTTGGCTGCCCTGCTCCAGCTGCTTGCTCCATATTTCTCTTGCTTGTAGGACCATTCTTGGATCAAATCCCATCTCTTTTTTCCCTCCAAGTACAGAAAGTACATAAGTCTATCCTGGAAGGAAGCCAACCTTTCAGAGAACTAAGTAAAGTGTTGTTTCTTGGCTATTTTTATCTCCTTTTTTAAAGAAAGGTCACTCTATCACCTCTGGAGCTGGATTATTTGTAATCAGTGTTCAAGCTGTGGTCTGAGGTCACTGTCCTGGCACTGCCCACGGGGAGGTGTCCTGCAGACGGAGAGCAGAGAGGGACACTGTGACTTCCCCTCACACTAAAGTGGAAGACACCTAAAAAGATGCACCTTTCGCCCTTCACCACATAGTGTACATGTTAGGCCAGGTTGAAGGCAAGGTAAAAACGCAATGGGAATGCATTTAACATCTCTGAGCTGAGGAGAGAGGGGGAAGGAAATAAGAGGAAAAGGACAGAAGACGGAAAGTATTTCCGGGGTCAAGGTAGTTTATGCCATTTAAACACACTGGGAAGCTTTAAATGAGACCAAGCACGTAAACCACTTAGCGTACTTAGCTGGAACCCAGGCAGCTGTTGTTAATTACAGTAAAATTCCAGAAGCAGTGCAGCATTCTGGTTAAACAGTGACTTCAGAGTTAGAAGGATCTGGGTTCGAGCACTTGCCCAACCATGAAGTAGCTGTGCATCACTTGGCTGCCTAATGAAGCCCTTTAGATCTCCACCTGCTTGACTGTAAAGTGGGGGCTAATAATACCATCTGCCTTAAAACTATTGAGTGCGTTTCAAGAGATACTGCATGTAGGACATTTGGCCTGGTGCTTGGGTCCTAGTTAATCTCAATTATAGTTATTATTGTCATTTGGGCTCTTATAACTGTTTTCTCAGCAATGGAAGAACCTAGAAAAGTGCTTCAGGAAAAGAGTTTGCTTCTCCGGGCAGGTGAAGACAGCTTGAGAAGAGCTGTTCTCTGAAGCAGTGAACATGGTCTCACTCGCCTCTATTGCAAACCAGCCTTGTTTTTCTTCTCATTTGGATACTTTCTTTCCTTCAGTGTTACAGAGTGGAGGGACTGGGCGTTCTTCCACACAGTGACAGACGTGTGAATCTCGCCCAGAAATAACAGGGAAATGCCTGACTCTGCTCCTTTAAGGAAACCCCCAGGTAGTCATCAGCCATAAACCCCCGGCTCAGGCCCTGGGGAGTGCACCCCATGCCCCCCCTGAGATAGGCAGGTCCCTGCCCATCGGGTCCAGCTCCTTTGTGAGGCAGACCCGGCTTTACTGAGTCCTTTCCTAAGGAAGGAAGAATGTTCTAAAAACTTGGAAAATGTTCTCCATTACTACTTCTAAACTGTAAAATGATATTTGGGCCTTTTAAAAGACTTGGGGAATTTTCTGACATTAAGGAATATGGATTTAATGGAAGCCTTGGGGGATTAGACTTTTCCTCTTCTTTAAAGCATTTGAAACAACTTTAATCTGCTTTTAGAGTGCTATCCAATTGGGCATAGCATTCTGGTAGCGTATTGTTGCCTTCTTCATGGAACTGATACTTTTGTGCTCCTTTATAAACTCATTTGGAGACATATTTAGGGTGTAGAAAAACCATGAGTTAATTTTTTTCACTTTTTAAAATTGTTGTTCAAGTACAGTTGTCTCTGTTTTTCCCCCACCCTCGCCCTGCCCCACCCGTCCCCGCCTCCTACCCTCCATCCTTTGGCTTTGTCCGTGTGTCCTGTACACATGTTCCACGCAGCAATATTTTCACTGATATGTCTCCTAGAGCAAGGGATGTAAAGGAAACAATAAATACATGGGACTTCACCAAAATAAAAAGCTTCTGCACAGCTAAAGAAAACATGAACAGGATGAAAAGGGAACCAACCATGTGGGAAAACATATTTGCAAACGATACCTCCAACAAGGGTTTGATCTCCAAAAGATATAAAGAACTTACATGACTGCGCTCCAGGGAAGACAAACAACCCATTTAAAAAACAGGCAAAGGACTTGAACAGACACTTCTCCAAGAAGGACATACAGTGGGCCCAGAGGCATGTGAAAAAACTCAAAAGAATGAGACTATTCAAGGTAAAGGAATGGCTTCCAAGGTGCCTGAAAGAAAATTTTAAATTTGTGTTTGGGGCATAAGAGAATTAAACAAATAAAAATCTAGTTATCTATACAGCTTTAGTGCTATAACTATTGATATCTAGTTTTCTGGTTGTTGGTCCTCCTAACATATATATCACACACACACATTTATAGTTTGCAATATACAAAAAATGACATACTTTCGTAGCAGCATTCTGGAGGCAGGTATCACAATCCTTATTTTATCAACAAGGAAATGGGCTTAAAGAGTGAAAAAAATGTGCTTAAAGAAGATGTAATGTGGCAGAAGTTGTACTTGGGAGTCTGGACTTTGCACCCAATACCTTTTCCACACACCTGTTACCTTAAATCTGCCATGTGACCTAGGGGGCCCCAGTCAACTTTCGGTGCCTCAGTTTCCAAATCTGCAGGGTGAGAATAATACTTCTCTGGCTTCCTTTCAGGGCCTGGTGGGTAGATTTTCCAGGGCTCAGTCTACCCATCATGTGGCCAAGATTTCCAGGAGCAGTGTGTGAGGAGCCGAATGAAACGCACTCTGCAGAGCCAGTGAGATACTGCCGAGGCTCCGTGTGGTGTGAGGCAGGAATGCTTCGGAGCTCTGCAGGAGATGCATGCCCGAGCTTTAGAATGATACGGGGTTGCAAATGGCCAGTGCAGAATGTTACAAAGCTGGCAGGTGGCCTGGAAGCTACCAGTAACTGTGGAGAGCTCTTTATGCCAGGAGCTGGGGAATCTAGAGAACAGTGGATAGGGAAGGAGGGGCACACACTTGTCAGAGCGGGGCCTTAATTCCCTGAAGCTATTAAAAAGGGGAGATAAGTGTGTCTTCAAATTGAATGAAAACTCCACAGCTATGCAATCCTAGAAGAATGTATAGTGTTGAAACGTCTAGGAAAACATTGTATTTCTCCTTTTCTGTTTTACAAAAGTACATCTATTCATTGTCAAAATAATCAGTAGAGAAGTGCAGGAAGTGACGTTTCCTCCTTTACCTGCTCCTCCCCCAACTCACTCCCTAAACGCCCTACTGCTAACACCTGCATATCTCCTAAAACTCTGCTTTCCAACCCTACGTGGGTGTATTCAGATACACGTCATGCATATGTACATGCTCACATATGTGTTTTTAAATGGGTCACACAATGTAATGTTGTTCATGTGTCATAGGTACTTGCTCACATAAACCTCTCATTTCCCCCTTGGCTTGACCAAAGTATACCTGAGAAAAATTGTGTGTCCTTACGGTGCAGAGTGTGATGTTTTCACATAACACATACACCTCATGCAATGTTAGCACAATCAAGCTAAATAGCATATCTATTACCTTGCATAGTTACTGTTTTTTTGTGTGTGAGGTGAAAGCACTAAAGATCTACTCTCTCAGCAAATTTCAAGAACACGGTACACCAGGATTAACTATGGTCACTGTGATGTACATGAGACCCTCCGGAAGTTATTCCCCCCACATAAATCAGGCTTTGTTCTCTTTGACCTACCTTTTCCCATTTCCTCCAACCCCCAGCCTTGGTAACCACCATTCTAATCTCCGCCTTGTTAAATTCATCGTTTTAAAAGTTCTCTCATTCTTTTGAAGTCACAGAGGGGATTCTCCTGTATGGGTATACCACAGTTTCCTTAACCAACTGCCTACAGCTACAGATACAGGTTACTTCTGGTGGTTTTTCCCCTCACTATTACAAATAATGTTTCAGTGGACGATCATGATGGTTCATTAATAGAAAAGGAAACAATCTAGAGATAAATGGGCTAGAACAAATTTGGAAAACATGAGACATAACGAAGCCCTTACCAGTAAGTCCACTCTCAGGAGCCCCAGACCAGTAGACCCTGGCCAGTATTGTTCCTCAGGTCAGATTGACAGCTAGCACCAGAGAAAGAACCCAAGGAAAAAACAAGTTAAAGAAAGAAAAAAAAGCTACCACGGCAGGATTTTTTAAGAGGTTGGGCAAACTGAAGTAAGGATCATGAGTCAGTGTCTGGAAACCCCAGAGAGAAACCATATAAAGTGCAAACAGATTGGTGGCATTGTAAGGAGACTGATAGTGAGGGTAAGACACCCTCACAGCGACAGTGTGGTCGCTGTCGGTCCCCACGGGCAGGGCGGGTGTCCTTTGTGGCCCTGGTACCTGGCATGATTCCTGACAAGTAAAACGTGTGAAAAAGTACTTGAGAAAGAGCAAAGAATACTCTTCTCAAGAGGACCAAGCCTTTTAGACATGAGTCAGCAGTGCTGACCTGAATGGAGATGAACATAATTTGTGGCCTTAAAAATGACTTAAACTTTAAAAACATTTCGCTTACGTTGAAAAGCAGTAAGTTAAAAAATGGTGCCATGAAGAGTTTCTGTTACTTAGTTTATTTAAACATGTTTCTCTGCTGACTATTTTTCGTGTTTTAATCCCTTATCTGCTCGAAAAAATTGGCTAATTTAAACTGTAACGGGTCATTGAATATTAAAAAATTATTTTTTAAACTTGACTTCATTTTTCCTGAGCTGGCCACTAAGTTGCTCCGTCTACTTTCCAGTTTTGTCAGCGGGCTGGCTTCTACCTCTTGGTCTGAGCATGCAGGTTCCCGAATGAAGTAAAAAGGACCCAGTGACCCGTGGCATGTCTTCAGTCTCGTTAGCACAGAATGCAAGGGAAAGGTTTACGACACAGTCCTCTGTGCGATGTGCTATCGACTGGGCGACTACACGCCAGTCAGCCAGAGACTCAGATAGCCAGACTTGGGTGCATACATTCCTCCAGATGTTTTTAGGAGAAAGGGATCAGTGAAACGTAGACAAACTGATGTGGGGGATTTACTTGGAGAAAGAAAGAAAGAGAAAGACAGAGACACCCTCACCTTCTGCATCAGGGTCAGCAAATCACCAAAAAATGCCCCCAAGGGAAGATGGCCAAGCCCTGTTCTCCATCAGCTAAGTTCTCCAGAGCAGGAATCCATACTCATTGTGATGACCTTGACATTCTAAGGGGAAGGAAGATTGAAGTAAATTTGGTAGAATTGCCGGTATTATGTTTTAATGCTCCATGTACTCATTCATTCAACAACCATGAGCAGAAACACTAGGTCATCAGAAAGACCATTCTCTAGTCATTCGGAGTCAGCAGGGTTGTTCTGTTGAGCCTTTTAATCAGTTCTGCACCCAAACCAACACTGAATCATCCCCCTTCATGCCAGCAGAAGCTCCAGTTCATGATGAGACTGTTTCAAAGTGCTCTCATTTAGTTTGTGGATACAATTATCTGCAGGGAGGTGACCTGCTGGCCTTGTGAAAAAGAGGGAGGGGTAGTGATCTGCACAGAAAAACATTATAAAAATTGTGTTTTGGCAGAGTGGCTCAGAGGGTAGCTAAGTGGAGGAAGGTCAGTGGTCTTGGGTTCTGGGCCATCACACATTGCAGTGTGACTCTGAACTTTGGTTTCTTCATCATAAAATAAAGGGTTCAATTGGGTGATCATTCCATGGAGAATAGTGCTCAAGCAAATGGGATAAAGGATGCAGGTAAAACCACATCCAGATAACATCCTAAAATCCAAAATACTTATGAGTCTTTTATAAAGAAGGGGGCAGCAGGGGAAGCAAACCCTGGAGATTCTAAGGGCACTTCTCTCGGACACAACTCCTAAGTGTGGCTTCGTATCCTCCCACGTGAGGCATTCCTGGGACTCAGGGAGTCCTGGTAAGAACTGCTCCTTCTTAAACCAAGTCAGCTGTAAACCAGCCTTCCTAAAGGCCATGAGAGCCTGGGGTTTGTGTCAGGGACTCAGAGCTGTAAGTCTGGCATGCGGCCCTATGCTGGCAGTAACAGTCTTATAGCTCTGCCCAAAGAGTCCTTTATCTGTAGCCCCCCAACTTCCCTGAGGCCCACCCAGTTCAGCTAAGCCTGGCTCATCTTCCCTCAGCTCCCATCTCAAAAGGCAGCTGTAGGGCCTCCCAGACAGAGGGCCTTCAGAGGGCCTTTGCTGGCGGATCGCAAACTGAACTCTCTCACGGCCCTGACAGGAGCCGTTGTTTGCTGGATAGTTGTGGCCGGTTTAGAGGATTTGATAAAACCTCCACTCCAGGGCTCCTGACGTTTCAGGAACCAGTCACTGGCAGGCAGGTGAAGCTTCATGTTACCCTCTGGTACTTTTAGGTACCTGGCGTTGTCCTCAAAAACCAAAATCTTAAAGATGAGTTTTCTGGATTGGTTCTGGAGTTTCTGGAATGGGTTCTGTAATGGCCCTATTTCCTGTAGTAACGAGAGCAGCCAGTCAGTCCACGGCATATTGTGGCGTTAGTGGTATGTACAATATGACCACTGGAGACCCCTAAACAAATACTATTAAAAGGCAAGGTTCTGGGTGACCATGTGATACTTCTTCAAAGGAAACCCATTGCTGGCTCTTACAGGACAGAGTTTTCCTTTCTCCTACCCCCTTTTCCTATTAACACAGACTTAACGCTGATCTGAAGTATTTGCTGTTGGCAATAACTGGTTTCACTTTGCTCCTAGAAGTGGTGCATCTTGTGGTACTGGCCAGGAGAAATCTCTTGAGGCAACATGAGATGGTGTCCTGTGGGTCACTTGCTTTTTCCCTGCCTCTCTATCCCATTTTCAAGAGTCAGTATAAAAATCACAACCACAGCCGTAAGAGCAGTGATCACTCACACGGCCCTCACTATGTGCAGGGCATGTAGCTCTCTGGCTGTACTTAATGCACTTAATGTTTCAACAACCCTATGAGGGAGCTATCATTAACCCAACCCCACTATATAGATAGGGAAATAGAGGCCAAGTCAAATAACTAACAAAGAAGGAGTCAGGATTTGAACCCAGGAAGTCTAGCTCCAGAGTCTGTGCTCTTAGTGCCCTTGGACGACAAACAGGTCTGTGTTGAATCCTGACCCTGCCACTCAGTGGTGATATGATCTTAAAACTCTCAGCCTCTGCCTCTGAATCTCGACGTGGGGATAATAACAGCTCCTGCCTGACTGAGGCTGTGAGACCGAAGTGGGATGATAAGCGTGGAGGGCTCAGTCCAGGGCCTGGCACATCCTAAGGCCTAAGAGCTCAGTGAGTGGCCTTCCCATCCACTGAGATGAGTGTGCAGTCATTGCAAATAATGTCTCTCCAGCTAGCTTGTCCTTCACCTTCTTTCACAAAGCAAAAGCTTTCTTTTTTATTTTTGATGAAATCTAATTAACAGATTTTTTTCTTTCATGGATTGTGCTTTTGCTGTAACGACTAAGAACTCTTCATCAAGCCCTAGATTCTGCAGATTTTCTCCTAAGATTTTCTAGTTACAACTTATTTTTTGCAAGGGCTGTTTTTTCTAAATATAAACGAAAGACATGCCTAGGGTAGACCATTTGTTATATACAGAAAAATCCAGTGGGGAAAGTTAAAACCGACATCCAGAAATATGTGTAGTGTCAGATACCAGGACATGCGGCTTAAATAAAAATGTTGCCTCGAGTACAGTGGGAAAACGGGACCTGCAACAGAAAGCTGCAATGCTGAGTGCCGATGGGGAGTGCTGAAGGACCGGTGCCTCTCCATGCCGAGAGCAGCCGGGGGAGCTGCCATTCAGAAAAGACTAAGAATTATGGACCCAAACAGCGCAACTCGTGTTTGTGAACCGCAGCTGTTACTCACCAACCATAACTGCCCCACTAGATAAAGAACCTATTTTAGAGGGCAGGTTGCTATAGCTGAAAAGAAACAAAAAATAATCTTCTTGGAAATCGCCGGATTGTAACTAAGGAGAGGGTCAGGTGTGAGAGTGGACTGGATCTCGGTGTATTTGCTGGCTTGGAGACAGACAGGCTGATCTGGCATGAAGACAGTCCAGCCCTGGCCGCTGTTCTGTTTTGTTGGGAAGTAATGGGCTGGGTTCCCTTTTTCAGACCCTGGCGTGGGGCGGCTTCTGATGGAAGGAAAGGAATCCTTCCAGCCTACCCACTTCTGATTCCCGGGCACCTGGAAGGCTGCCATCTCCACACAACAGATGTGAAGTCATCTTAAAACATTAGATATTTCAAAAGAATCCCTCCCTACCCCTTACCACCAACCTTCTGAGAAGCTGATACTTTTTGAAGGAATATTTTAAGTGAAATTTTGCTGTTTAGATTTTTTTTTAGTGAAGTTAAGAAACAATGCCGAATTTGACTTGGTCAATCTAGATTTTCATACATTGAGTTTGCACCCACTGAGACATTGCTTAACATACTTGATTATATTGCAAAGAAAATCTTTTTTTTTAAACACCAAGATAAGATCACTGTTGTTTGCTCAATATTGAGGAATCAAGTAAAACACATGGGTAGTGGCAGGCACGTAAAAATTTCATGAAAATTTAGATTAAAAAATTTTAATCTAAAATTTTTTAGATTAAAAGAAAAAAAGCTACACCGACCCTGGCTGGTGTGGCTCAGTGGACTGAGCACCAGCCTGGGAACCAAAGGGTTGTGGATTCCATTCCCAGTCAGGGCACATGCCTGGGTTTCTGGCCAGGTCTCCAGTAGGGGGCGTGAGAGAGGCAATCACACATTATTGTTTCTCTCCCTCTCTTTCTTCCTCCCTCCCCCTCTCTCTAAAAATAAATAAATAAAAACCCTTTAAAATTATTAAAAAAACTTAATATGGTGAAAATTACGATTTAAATGTCCATCAAAAGTGAACTGGTTAACTTAAATTGTGATACATTTATACGAAAGTTCAACATTTGTTGCCGTGTATTGAGTTTAAAAAGCTGGCTATAAATTAACAAGTAGAATTTGGTCCTATTTTTAAAAAGGCATTGGGAAAGAAATATACTAAGGAATTATCAGTAGTAATCTCTGGGTGATTAAGTTATAACAAATTTTATTTAACTTTTTCCTGACTTTTCCGAATCTAATTGCACTGAGCTTTTATTGCATTGATAACCAGGAAAAAAAAGATAAAAATTAATTCCCAGAAATGGTCATAAGGTGGCATGTTAAACAGAATTATATATGAAGCTTACAATGTTGTTGACTAGTTTTATAAGTTATACAAACCTCATAGGTGAAAAGTAAGAATCCTCTCCCTTGTGAATCCCCAGAACTCCTCTCGCAAGTAACTAGTGTCAACAAATATATATATATTTACAGCAGAATTGAGCACTGAGAGCAGATCTGAAAAGCAAAAGCCAATGCCAAGAAGCATGAGACAGCCTTGAAGAGAGAAGTGAGTGATACCCCCAGCCCACACTCGGAGCATCACCTCACGGTCACACTGCCCTTCAAATAAGGGAAGTCACCCTCCTTAGACTCTGAGCACATGGGCTCCCATGGGCACTGACACCCAGCCAGGCATGCAAATGAGCATGGGCTCCAAAACCGGAAGGGATGAAGGCAAGTTGGGATCACACACCACCTCTGGGCAGCGCGTCACAGAAGCAGCAGACACTGCTCCTGGGTGTGCGGAAGGTTCCTCCCTTTCTCCCATTACCACACCTGTCCCCCATTTGCTTATTTAATGGTTTGATAGCCGAGCCCTTCTCATCCTCCATGCTGTAGCTTAAATGTCACCTCCTCCGAGAAGCGAGGAACAGGCTTGCCTGAGATGGTATAGCCCCCTTCTTTATTTTCTGTCAGCATCCTTGATCGTGTCCTGGAAAACACCTACTAGCATTTGCAATATTTTTATTTTATGTATTTATGGCTGACCCCTGCCTTCCTCATCTCTCCACAGATTGTAAACTTCACAAGGGCAGGGAGTATGTGTGTGTGGTGTGTGTGTGTTTAAAAGCTACTTTTGCTTACCCACTTTTTTTCGTCTATAATAGGCATTTAATAAATACAGTGTTAATGAAATGGAAATTTTTTATGAGTCCATCTTTGAGATGAAACTGTAATTTTATTAATATTTTAGACAATGGCTGACCCTGAAATGGTAAGTTTCATTTGTCCAGTCCGTCAATAAACTTTTCCTATGAGCTACAATTTGCCAGCCCCTG